CGAAAGTCGAAAAACTTATTTCTGTGGTCTGGTCCTAAGTCGCTCTTCAAACTACTTGTTCTTGGTTGAAGAAGAGTCCAAAGGTGTGCGTGAATCTTGGTCAGCTATCTTGATGTGGTTTCAACACTGGGCATTCATCTCTGCCTGCCGTTCGGGGCTCAACTCTTCTTCTCTCCAGAGTCTGAATTACTGGGCACTCATCTCTGCCGTCGGTGAGCGAACTAACTTCTTCTCGCCAGCTTGGGTCGAACGAAATCGGCACTCAGGCCAAACGAACTCTTCCCGCCGTCCGAGGCTGAACTGATTTCTGTCTGGTGGGGCTTCGTTTTTATTGACGCCGTCAAAACTGGGGTGGGTCTGTCGGAGCCAGGGGTTCTTCGATAATTCTAAATACGTATCTACCCTTCTTATTTCTGGTTAGGGATTTTCCACTCTTTTCCATTTTTGGTAACTCTTTTCTCCCTCCCACTCTCTTACCGTGCTTCTGAGGGGCGTGCACTGCCTTCCCTACTTCTTCGTATCGGCTTCTCATACTTACACTCTGGATAGAGGCGTCGACTGATTTTCTTCGTGCGTCACGTGACCATTCTCAGCCAGTGAGGTCCTGGTCGGGTATCTTTCCTCCTCCTTCGTGCGTCATGTGATCCACTTGGCCAATGACGTCTTAGTCGGGCGTGAACAACCCGTGGCTTTGTTTTGGGAAAGAAATACCTGGCTTAACTAAAAAAAAATAATTAAATCGGCCTTATCATGAGCGGACGATGTGACACTCTTGGTTTTAACACGTGGCGTTTGTCAAGCAGTTTATCGCTAATTGGACATGGCCTAAGAAAGAAGTTTTCCTAGCCACTTGGCGTCTCCAAGGCAAAAATAAAAATATTTCATTTCCCTCGGCCCATGTGTTGATAACAAAAAAATCTTTATTATCGCAGGGCAAAAATCTATTCTGTCAAAAAGAAAAACTTAGCCAGTGAAAACTACTTGTGTGGGATTTTGATTCTCCACACCCAGTGAAGACTGTCTGTGTTTCGTCAATGTTCAACAATGGATTTCTTCTTTTTGGTGACATCCATTGATAACAAAATTCCATTTTTCTGGACAAGCGGAAATTGGTCAACGCTTGTTCGTAGGTGACCTAGATATTTTCGACATCTGATACCTATCAACAATAACCTTTTTCCTCCTCATTTCCGTCTCTTAAGCCGTGTGTGTGTGTGTGTGTGTTCGCCTATGACCCGTCTCTGTATTACTTTTTTCTTTCTTTCTTCTTCGTTTTCTTTCTTTCTCCCCCAAATCGCTTGAATGCAAAGAAAGAATTATTCTTAAAACCTAAAATATTTTTCGGCCTTAAATAATCCTCAAATGGTTGATAAACCGTAAAAAAGCAAATCATAAATCAATAAATATTTTTTTCAAATCGTCAGGATGCATGGTGCCACAATCCTCCCCTAACCGATTTGTCATTTACCCGTAAATGACACTTAAACGCAAATGCATCATTTAACATGCACCATGCATTTGTCTCATGCAATTCTGTACTACTTTCTTACATGCAGTGTAATGTTCTTTTCATCTTTTTCTGTTCTACATGCAAATGTAATGTTCTTTTTTATCTTTTCTTGTTCTTCATGCAAATGTAATGTTCTTTTTCATCTTATTCTGTTCTACATGCAAAAAAATGTTCTTTTTTTTCATGCAGGTGTTCTTTTTTCAAAAGATTCTGTTCTACATGAAAAAAAGACAATTTTTCATCTTCTGTTTAAAAAGTAATGTGTAATGTGGGAATGCAGATGTGGTTACTATGGCTTGTTCTTCTTGGATACATTTTCTCTCCAGTTCAGGAGGGAGTATTAGTTTCCATAGACGGCGGTCTCACCGTCTGAGGATGTGGAACACTGTCGGCATCTCCTCTCGAGTGCATTTGTTTGCATTTAGATTGTCGTTCGTACAACTCCCAAAACAAATACATTTATATAGAGACAAATACGATATTATAAA